CTCTCCAGCTCCTGTGCTCACCCCACAACTTACCGGCTCAGGCGCAGACGCGTTTGCTTATTGCAGGACAGTTATATATACTAAATCTTTCGAAATGTTCTTGAATTTGATCAGAATTGCGAGTTTTTAAGTCATTTTGCGCCGCCATGCGGACAAGCGCATGATGCCAAATGCCGTGACATGCCTTCTGAAAGAGACTCCTGTACTGTATTATTAATGTGTGTCGCATATACATGTGTTAAAGAGCCAAATCCGGTGGAGTCTGCATGGGTTTGTTTAGGTAGGCCAAGTAAAGGGCTGTGAGAGGGTCCACTGACTGAGAGGGCACTAAGATCCCATTGGCCGCAGATAGCTGGTGCGGCGTGAGCCTGCACCTACGCGTGCTCCCACGTTTGGCATTTGTTATGGGAGCGTATCTCAGGGGGTTAAGTAAGTTAAACCCTAACAACTGCGATCTTCAGACCATGGTTACTTGGTAGAGAAGAAGTCGGTTGAGGACAGGAATAGTATATTGTGTACACAGAGGAACGGAGAATAAGGGAAGAAATCTGACTTGGGAGCATACGACCAGCCAGGAGAGCCAGACGGGTCCACGTGCCGGTTTGACAGCAGTCAGGCTAGTGGATGGAGAGAGCAATTCACGCGTGCAAGCTTGCTATTCGTCGCCGGCCAGAAAGCAACTTTGCGGTAACTGTGATTGGCTGTTCCCAGACGTGGAGACCAACTTCTAAGGGTCTTCAGGAAACTTCATTTCGACGCGGCTAGTCACTACAAGCGCAACCCGAAGAACGCTTTCCGTGACCCGGTCTAGTTCTGCTTGTTGTCCAGCGCATTTTCTATGTGACGTTAGTAAGCCATTATACGCCGCCTCTCGCTCCTCCAAACCTCTGCTTCAGCATAAAATTATGCGGCATTAGGGGGTGTGTCGGTCCTATGATGGACACATGTTCTATGTAGGCCATTTTTTTCTGACAACAAGCCTGCTCGGACTTGTCTTACCACTTTCGGTGTCGATCATTTCCAAAGCGGTGACGTCGGCAGATGCCTCAATTTGGTCTAACTGATAGCATTTCTTCCAGAATTTGAACTTCTTTCGGTTTGGGTGTAATGCAACTGCCAAAACCTACTCATTGTGACCTTTTACGGGCAGATCGATCCTCCCTAGGATCGCAGATGATCTTACCTACATTTGTTTCACCAAATTTACCGGGTATGTGTAACCACCTAAATAGAAGACAGGTGAAGGTGTACAACCTTGAAAATCCTCCTTTTGTTCAAAACTCGTAAGGCTGCTCTAGGCAGACAAGTTGTTTTGTAGGAGAGTTTAACACTTTGACTGCGACTCTAAAAATAGCCTGTATGCCCGTGGTGCGGCGTGTTCAAACCTGCATAACTTCAGTCCTAGACGTGTACCATATATGGCGCACGCCGCAGTTTGGGACATCATCGCATGTACCACATATGGCGCACGTCACAGTCAAAGTGTCAAGCTAATCTTTACCAAATAGTCTATTTGGATAATCTATATTTCTCAGGATTTCCTTTATTCCAAACGCAGCCACTTAGTAAAAGCCTAGGAATGGGATTTGAGGACCATCTACGTGCATACGAGGGAACCTGTTTTATTAATAAGACTTGCATCTGCTGCTAGCCCGTAGACGTCAGTAAGGCAGAACTTCAGACCTCCGTACAAAATCTTGTTTGTTCTCCAGTCGATGCGCTGCCGATGAATCTAATAAAGTGAAAATTCTGCATTTTATAACATTTTAACACGCAAGCAAACGACTTAGAAACGGGCAAATGCGAAGCAGTGCGGGAAGTATAAACACAACCGCCCTGCATAGTCGTATTGGATGTCGAAGCATGGCATGGAAGATAGCCAGACATGCAAGGCCCAAATCGAAAGCACGGCCATCAGACGGAGTCCCCGAGCTTTAAGCAGATAAATCAGATAAATTAGCCGCACAAAAGACATATTAACGTTGCTGTTTGTAGAGCTGCCCAGGGACAAATCGCTAATGGGATATAAATCTGTCGGAAATAAACTTTTTAGGCTTTACATATGTACCTATTTCTATGGCTTGTCCATGATGGTTTCCTGGAATTATTTATGGTTTCTCGAGGAAAATTCACGACCTCGTGACTTTTTACGGGCAGATCGCTCCCTCCGTCCCTCCCCCTACCTACGGCCGCAAATAGTCTTCCCTGCATTTGTTTCACCCAATTTCACCGGATGTGTGTAACCCCCTAAGCAGAAGAAAGATGAAGATGTACAACCGGTTCGAAACCTCTCCCCCTCCCCCCTCACAACTTGTGCACAGGAGAGTTTGAGCTAGTTTTTATCAGATGGTATATTTAGATAGGGTAGATTTACCAGAATTATATTTACTCCAAACGCAGCGACTTAGGAGTGCGATTCGATGACCATCTAGGTACTTTTTCCTAATCAAGGGTAATACGAGGGAACATGTTTTCTTAACAAGACTAGTATCTGCGGCTAGCTCGTAGATGTCAGTAAAGTAGAACTTCAAACCTCTGTGGAAAGATTTTCTTATTCAGCAGTGGATGCGCTGACGATAAATCGTATACGATTCTTTAAAGCAGAGTTTCCTAGGTGCAAATTTGTAAATTGCAAGAACGGCAGGATTTATCAAATGGTATATTTGAATAGGGTAGGTATATCCGAATTATATTTACTCCAAACGCAGCCACTTAGGAGTGCTTTTCGATGACCGTCTAGGTACACTTTCCTAATCAAGGGTAATACAAGGGAACATGTTTTCTTAACAAGACTAGTATCTGCTTCGCATAAGCTGTAAGGCAGGCAACCTAACTGTCCTTTGCACATTTTTTTCTCAAGTCTGACGACGACCTGGGGATCCATTGTCGAAAATTTACTGAATAAATTTACTCATTTTCCCAAAGGGCGCCTTTCCTTGATACTAGTATCTGCTGTTAGCTCGTAGATGTCAGTCAGGTAGAATTTCAAACCTCCGTATAAAGATTTTTTGTTCACCAGTTGATGCGCTGGATTCTGCATTTTAACACGCAAGCGAACGACTTAGAAACGGGACAAATACGAATCAGTACGGAACATATCAACCCAACTGTCCCGCATAGCCGTATTGGGGGTTGAACCATGAACTGCAACTCATGAGTACAGCCGAAACTAGCAGCCTGAGATACGAGGCCCAAATCGAAATTACGGCCGCCGGGCAGAGTCCCCTGGTCCCCCTCCCCGCGTTACGGCATTTGTGATGGGAGCGCCATTTGCCGCGCCTTCATCGTGTTCGTTCAACGCACTTACCACGTGGCCCGTTTAAAGAGCACAGAGATCGGCGTCCGCGAAT